AATGGATTTTTAGTAGTTTATTTTCAGTTTCTATAACTTCCGAACACCACTTATAAGTTATAATTAAAGCGTTATTATAATAGTATTAGGTACAATTTAAAAATAATAATTTATTGAAAAACACAACAATTAATTGAGAGAACGAGCGTGACACTTATTAAAAGGATTATCCAATTTGTTATCCATTGACTAATGATATATCATAATCATATTATAATATTATAACTTACCTGTTCTACCTACCATTAAAAGGCGAACAGTAAAAAACCAAATGGATTTCTACTGCAGTAAATCATTGTGTACCTATAGAGTATAGGGGAACCSGGAACATACACTCAATTCTGTCAAGGGTGAGACTGTTGCTATGTGAACTATCAACAAAACAAACCGGAGGTTTTCAGTGTAAACTATTTCTTATTCAAAGAGCCAGCACAATCATGTCGGTGCGCATAGTTTATAGTCAATCATTTGGAGTCAAATACAAAGCTTCTGTTTGTTCTAAGGCGTTTATATTATACGTTGTTATAACTATATTAACTTTTGCCTTGCCGTTGATATTTTGCTATCGAAGCAGTGGTAGAGTGAACAGTATTTTTATTTCAACCATCGGCAACAGGATATTACTTTTTGTTAATATTTTCAGGACTATGGATTAAGTACGAGAAATACAGAGAACAGCCTATAGTACAATTTAAGTTGCAGTACTTGTTATATGCTGAAACATCTGACCCCATGTCTCCGTTGATTTGCGGTAACTATCCGAAGACGTTAAAAACTACCGGACTYTGTTCCACCATCAAGGTATACCTATTTTGAATAATATACATTGCTGTGACCATCACTATACATAACTAAATTGCAAATAATATTTCGTTAGGTTATAGAAGAAGACATTAACATTGATGGGAAAAAAGAATTTCTGGATTTAGAGTTATACTTGACCATGAATAAAACGTTAGATGTACATTCTATAACTTTATTGCTGATATTTGATTTTAAAATACAAGTGAATATAAATTTAGTATTRAAACAGCTATTTTTTATTTATACTTCTGGTGTGTAATGACGTACCTATAATCTGTTTTTATTAGGATTTGTGTTTACTTGAAATGGAATCCATGGCAGTTATTACACACAGTTCTGGATTGCCAGGCGGTAGATTGGACGTATTTGGTGATTTAAACTTAGTACAAAAAATACCTTTAGTATGTACACCGAGGAAACCTATTCGTATGAATAGACCTATATTGATATTTGAATCTCCTGACTGGCTGGTCAACATATACGAGGAATACTCAAAACGAACTCGTAAGTTATTTAAATTTAATAATTATATCAACGGTTTAATATAGATGTATATATAATGTATGAATAAATATTTATTAAATTTTTAGTTTCCACTAAGTTAGATAACGTTTTAATAAAGTGGACAAGAGGTCGACCTTATCAACAGCCATTTTTAATAAAAACTAAAATAAACTACGGTTTTGTGGAGATTCTGTACAAACCAAAGTTTTGGCAAGTAATGAAGTGGGCATGGATACAATACTTTTCAGTACTCGTGTTATCAGTATTTATATTTAAAAAAGTTAAACGGTTTTTATACACAAATCATATAGTTACTACGAAAATCGAACGTTCAGCTTAGAGTAAATTTTAATCTTCATGCATTAACTATTATAATAATTAATTAATTTAATYCAAATAATATTTATAAAATAGGTGAAAAATGATTTTATCGCTTATTATAATTATATATAGTACAGTATTATATTTTTCAACAGGTACTATTATAATAGTCATTATAGTCTCCCAATAATAATCGAAATGTTAAATTATAATTAATAATGCGTATTGTATAACTTATAACTTGTAAACTTGTAACTTGAATATTGATATGTTTATATTATGTATTAATATTTATTATGTTATATGAGAGATGAGACAGTGTGTGTCAATTACACAAGTATTATCTAGGTAGCGTTGTTTTTAAAATGTATTTRAAATTGTTATTTTATATAAAGTAATATCAATGGATATTTTTTCTTATTATGTAAWCTCATACTGAAAATTCATTACCAAATTTACTTACTTATTGTAATATTTAATATAGATTGTAAATAAAAAAATAAAACAAATTTTTAATTGCATCTCCAATACTCCAAGCCCGAATCCCAGTTATGACGTAGAAAAGATCATTATTTTCGACTCGTTCCGTGTTAAAATATATTTTATACTTTAATGAGAATAAATGTCATTCCTAGCGATYAGTGATTGTATTTTTATTTCATAGAATTTACCAATATCCCCGTGTGTATCTAAAGTAGTTTTTCTTAATATTTTTCATTTGAGATTTCGACCGCGCGATAAATTGTRTATATTTAACTACCTATATATCATATATCTATAAAAAAGGCATTCCGGCATTAAGCTGGAATGCATGATGTATTGATGTATAGTATAGAAAACTGAAAAACCTATATAAATTATTATACACTAATAAAAGCCAATATTCTTCTCGTTCTACAAATTAATGAAATCTAGAATACAAACATACATGTACATAGAAGTACATTATGCATGTTACGCAAGATGTTTTGCTGTGTTGAAAAAATTTAGTGCTGCAGCTGTGAGAATAAAAATAAGAATCTTATAGACATTTGTACTTGTGTAATTATTGTTCGGTAAGAAGTAATATTACCGTTAGCGACAATGGATAATACAATAAGACGATTTTATTAATACGATATAGCAATTTTTCATTCACATTCATGTGTACAATATGTATGCAATAATCATATTTATTTTGATGTCAGTTTTGACATGTATCGAAATATAATGAGATGTTGGATACCTTATAAATGTTGGGATTTATAAAATCATTTGATTTTACCACTATATAGACACTATTATATTTTAATAAAATAATAAAAATCAAAAAAAAAATCATAAATTAATGATGCTTCTTATAATAAGAAATATTATTTTAATCTAGAAAGAAAAAACATGTTTCAAACATAATAATTTCGACTTTCAACCGAATATTTTTTTTGTTATTTTATAACATACCAAATATACCCCCATCGWCGGCTCTACGCCTTGGTGAGATTGCACTCTTTTCTCGTTCAGWTGGAAGATAATTTTACCGGATGCAAATAACAGCGTATCGTATTCACCGCAAGGCCGGGGCAATCATCAATACAATCAACCTGTGGCGGACGTTGTCTGCAACTTATATGATCTCCGAGTGATCAAGCACCTTCAGCCGGGTGTTGGCCAGGTGTGTGTAAACAGTAAACGCATACATATATATATATTTATATATAGACATTATGTATAATAATATATATTATACCTAACAACGTTTTAGTAGGTACAACCATCGAAAAATAATTTCATTGGAGGGAACATTTGTAAGAATCCTGCACGCACGTTCGAACCCGTTGGACTGTGACCGCATGTACYTGATACGAGAATTCGGCATCACTGAATATATATACACAGTTAACAATTTAGAGTGGAAAAAATTAAGGAAGTGAAAAAAACAAATTTTGGTTATCAAATTCACAGCAAAACCAAAGTAAATTAATTATTACATGCTAGCCGCTAGGTAGGTATAGCCGTATAGGTAGGTTCCGGAAATATAATGAACAATATCTGATAATTTGTTTGCTCTCCTATACCTTATAAGTTATAGAAGAATTAATAACAGAAAATAAAAATGAACGKAGTAAAGGTCATTGTATTGTACAAAGAAATTGTGCACAACAAACAGATTTAATTGTCCAGAAGGATGTCTTTTATGGAACCAAGTGTAGGCATTTTTTTTTCAAACTATCACGTTAATGTACAATGATTAAAAACTAGTCTTGATGCAATAATAGGTAYATTGTTTTTTATATCCAAATAAATGTTTGACTTGAAAACATGTGAAAGAATATATCGCAAAGAAAAAAACAAAATTTCATCCCAATAATATTACAGCTAATCATTCGTGTGTCATGTCAGTTTTATACGAAGCTACTGTTATCGCTTATATATTATAGTTACATAGGTATATGTAATAAATTACATGTTTTTTTAGGTTTTGTACCTGAATTAAACCATAATACCTAGTTTTAATTTTTATACAAAAAGATACAGCCACATCAGAATTTATAGATCTTTTAAGTATAGGTAGTAAAATATTTGTTGGATACAAGATTTTTAATTAATAATTTAACGAACCTTATATTTTTCTAATATAATAATGCATTATATCACTCAAACTTACACTATACTACTAGAGTGATCATACGTTCTACTAGATCAGCTTCGCCCTATTTTAAATGGTTCCGATTTTGTTCAGTATTATAGAAAATTAATAACAATAGATTTTAGAATTTATTTGTTTGATAAAAATAAATGTATTGTTAAGTATTTAGGTATAGAATGTACTCTATTGAGGCATTATGACCATCACTATCATTAATTCAATAATCAATYATAATTTTATTATTAATACAAATATTCATATGAATATAATATGTCAAATAAAAAATGTTAGGAATTCGAATGTTATTTTATTATAAAATATTAAAGTACATATACAAATAAAATTAATTTAAGTCTTTTATAATTTTATACAATATACAGTTATATCGGTAATATTCCTAAATTTTTATACAGAAAGCTATCCCTTCGGATAGCCTTATATGGGCATGCTATGTATAACATAAAACATAAAAGTAATAAAAAAATTGCATATTTCAGACAAGATATTGAATTTTTAAAAAACTATTAAATATACTTTTTAGTTTTTACTGTTAATAACTGGATTAAAGTGTCATTGTCATAGGTAATATTTTTAAGAACAGACCGTTTAATATTCTAAAAATTATTCTCTATTACTTTTACGTTGTTATGGTCAGATTTAATAATTGTTCAATAGTCTCGAAAATGTATAATATTATTTTTTTTTACTAAGTTTTTAAAAATTATCGTTTGTACGTGCCGGGGCACATTTACTGTGTTTAAAAGAGTTTAATATGCGTATATTATAAATTAAGTTGGATATAAAATGTGTTTTTCATAACGCAAATGTCATATTTTTGATAAAATATAAAAACGTATAAAACGTGTATAAAAAGAAACAATTGAAGTCGTAGCAGTGACAGTTTAAATCGTTCTTTGATTTCATATATATATATATATATATATAATACATCTGGTTATTGTTATTTATCATCAAAATTGTAATTTACGTATATAGGTTTTTTTATTTTGTAGACGCACGATTGAATTCTAATATTCGTGAGAGGAAAAAAAATGTTAGTGCCTATATCTAACGTTAGTTGAAACGGGTGATAGGTCAAATATATACATATATACACCAATCTCATACCTAGGCACTACTTTTTATAATACCGGCTATCATCGTATCAACGTGTATGCATGCGTTCATGACAATCTGTGGCCAGTCATTGCGATCGTTCAACCATATTGAAATTCTAATCAGTTATATATTTATGTCTGAACATTTCAATTTTCAATAAATATAAAATACACATTTTATACTAAAATAAATGAATGAACGTATATAATATGTATTTATAACAAATGACCATTGACCATTTGTGTTGGTGTTGTACCATGTTTGTATAAAATACGCACGATAATATAGGTATTGTTGTAGGTCAATATTTAATTTAATTATAGTTATTTTATACCCACAAAAAGCTACTTTAGTTAATTTTATATTGGTTCGAAACGGGTGATATAATTTTTTAATATTGGTCTAGTTTCAAAGAAAAACCAAGTTGGTACCTACTATTAAAGTTATTGCTAAGACATATTTTTATAATAATATACAAATCATAATTATATAAAAATATACCTAGTTATCCTAAAATATAGAGTGCATTTATGCACWGCAGTAAACATAATAATTATATGATGATTTTGAATGATCTAAAATAATTATTTTTCATTATCTACTATATATAACTACAAAACGCATTGTTCACATCCCACGGTTAAGTATTCATACTTCCTCTGATGTGACCCAAATTCATGTTGCACGGGGTCATAGTGGTCCCATCACGAACTCTTTGTAGACAAAATACTAGCACGCAATCTGAAAATATAGTAATTTATTTTCCACTTAACCTAGACAGATTGAATGTGACAACATGCAGACGGCTTTTGACTTATTGAGGTAATATCATTAAAATGTAGGTTATATTTTAATACGTATCTACTATATTTATTATCACACTTAGACAATGATTTTTTTACAATATGTTACGAATTATTATGCTTTACCCCTTGTACCTTATAGGTGTGTCATTTTACAAATAAATAAAATATTTAGTAATTAATTGTGTTGTTGCAGATGTATAATTTGTATGAACAGTGGTAAACAACAATTGGACTTACGTGGTCACAGTTGTAGTATTAGTTCATTAGCATTACAATAACTAATAATTATAGGTAAGTATATTAATAAGTCAAAAAAATATATACTATTTTCTGTACAAAATTGTTTAGTTTTTTATTATTACAATTTATAGCACATGCCCGAAAAATATTTTAGGAATCATGTTCAACTATCTATCTATAAAAATAGTGGAAATTATTTTATTTTTTTTAATTCCTGGGGACTACGTTGCTTCTTTTAGGGAGCGAACATTTTCTTTTGTCATCACGACAC